GGTAAAAATTGTTTTTGTACACAGCATCTCTGGTAAATCCTCCATTCAGTTGAGGGTTCCAGCAATGTTATATTACGTTCAAATTAAACGTTGAAGGCATCAACGTTTTATGATAGTTGTGAACTAGAAACTATTTTATTTTCTCGTTTATGTCTGTCTACTGTTGCTGCTCTACCCTCCCTTCTCCACCACCAGCATCCAGGCAATGTCCATGGTCCAGGGAGATCTCCAGCAGTTTGTTATGACCGCATCAACAGTTTAGTAAATGCAGGATTGGTGCCAATTTCTGTATTTGATGTGCCTTCTAACTGATCAGCTTTTAGTCATCATAAATAGGATAAGAGCCCGTCTGAACATATAAAACAGTCAGCCATACACATGTATCAGCACGCAAACATTGTTTTAAAATGAAAAGGATCATAGTTATTTGCAGGTTGTTTTACTGAAAAAAAACGAATTTCGGACTTCATCTATGAGCTCTGAATTTGTATTGGTATTTATGTCTGTGTGTGGGTTTAGTTCTTTAAAAAAGCAAACTCATAACTAATAAATCCCAAACTTCTCAACAAATAAACTAACGCACACAAAGATTATGGCTAATGAATCTAAACAAATTAAAGTAAGAAGAAGAGCTGAAAGGTGTTAGCACCTGATGGGGGTGGTCCCTTTTAAGGGCGGGCGATTATCCTCAGGACTTTTAACACAGGCATTTGTGCCTCTCATTAATATAAAAATAGGTCATCATTTCCAAATCAATTTGAAAAAAACACCTTGGGTTGCTCCCTTGTTTAACTGTGCAGATTCTGAGAGTATAGATGGTTATGCATGGTTCATGTATAGTTTGTTTTGAAAATAGACTTGTTTTTTTTTTTTAAACCTGAGAACAAAACACAACCTTTTAAAATCTAAAATGGGACTAAAGGAATCTAGGTGAGAGTTGTAGGAAAGTAATTGACAAGTATTATACATATACAGAAATGAATGTCCTGATAATTTAAAACACAACTAGTAGAAACTTTACTTTATTGGTCTCTACTGTTAATATGCTGATTTCATTTCCACACATTCGTTCTTTTTTTTGCAATGTCTCCACCCAAAACTGCCAATAACAAGAAACCTCTTTTCGTCATCCTAATGTCAGTGGACACATGCACATACCACCAAACCACACAGTCAGGCAGAGATGGGAATTCATGGTCTGCTGATCATTTCATCTGCCTGCAAAGGCCAGAATTATTCCTAAACTTTACAGTCAGCGCTCAATGATCTATGAACTAACACATTTAAGCACTGGCTGATGGTGTTACTGCGTTGACACCCTGCAGGAAAACTACCACTGATTTCTGAGTTTGTACTGCTTTTATGTAAGTGTTATCATTTATATTCCTATTATCATGTTTACATACTCTTTTTGATTATGTGTTGTTATTAGTTATTATTGTTTTATTTTATTTTTTTATTATTATTTTTTTTATTGTATATATTATTTTTTTACTTTTTATCTCTTAAATTTGATCAGTGTCTTTTGTTGTGAAGCACTTCGGGATTTGTCTTGGCAGATGAGAAGCGCTATATAAATTCAATGTATTATTATTATTATTTATTATTATTGTATTATGGTTTGAATTGCAGTGTGGTGTTTCTGGGAGGTCATGAAGCACAATGTAATATAAAACCAGAGGCCAAACATAATTCTCAGGTTTTGTTGATATTGGTCTCTTGCTTTCTAGTTCCATGTAGCTGCATGAAAAGTCTCACCTCATGGGGCTAACTGAGACTTAAAATCAATGCAGCAAAAAAATAAAAAAGTAAAAGCAGCACTAAAAAATTCATTGATTTTTTTTGTGAAATAGAGCACTGCTCTTTAGAGGCTAGGAACATCAAACTTGAATGAATATATATGTAAAATTCATACAATGATATGTGATAATGAAGCTCAGAAGAAATGCATGCAATGCATTTTAACAATAACATGTCCTTCTGTTGTAACGCATTTTCAAAACATGCACTAACCAGATATTGGACTTTAAATTGAAAACATGAAAAATGTATTGGCCCAAATATAATAAACACAAATGCTCTTCAAAGACTGCACACATACACAAATTGCAGGTTATAATTGAAATGTTAATCAGATGGAAATCAAACTCTGGTGCATTTAATTCCCTATATACTGTAGTATATCTGTTTCACAAATAACAGCTTACATTGACCCTCTGTATGTGCATACAATCTGTCATAAACACTGTTACCAATACATCGTGCTATGTTTTAGAAGAAGCATGATTAATATTCTGCACAATCCTCTGGATATATGACTCTCTACAGGCAGCCTTTCCTCGCCAGGCAAAGTTTGCGTCACATGCTTATCCTGTATTCCCCGCAGACCACTTTGATGTTCATGCTCACGTTTATTTTATTATGGACATTTATTTATTTATACCGTCTGTGACCATCACAATCAATCCTTCGACCACAACATTACTCTTGGAATTCAGTTTTCATCTCAAAAGTGTTCACAATCTGTTCCAACCCTCGTGTGTGTGTGTGGTGTGTGTGTGTGTGTGTGTGTGTGTGTGTGTGTGTGTGTGTGTGTGTGTGTGTGTGTGTGTGTGTGTGTGTGTGTGTGTGTGTGTGCGGGTGTGTGTGTGTGTGTGTGTGTGTGTGTGTGTGTGTGCGGGTTTGGGTGCGGGTGTGTGTGTGTGTGTGTGTGTGTGTGTGTGTGTGTGTGTGTGTGTGTGTGTGTGTGTGTGTGTGTGTGTGTGTGTGTGTGTGTGTGTGTGTGTGTGTGTGTGTGTGTGTGTGTGTGTGTGTGTGCGAGAGAAAGAAGCGTGCCAGTGGTAGCTAAGGCAATATTTTTACTGCTTATAACTCTTTTGAAGATAATTCATCCCCGCTTCCAAGGTCTGCAAACTGGATTGTTTTCCTTCCTTGGACAAATTAGAAAAATCATTTTCACGGGCCACTACATGTGCCCTTGACTCACAGAAATTGATTTCTTTCTTTTTTTTTGTGGGGGATATGTAATATCGAGATGTAATTAAATGCTACACATCCTTGCTGGCACAATGGGTGAACAGGATGATTACAGGACTGAAATTGACATTCATCCTATAAAAACCTAAATATTCACATTTAACCATGTCAACCCCATGGACCCTTTGGCAAGTCAATTATTACAAACTAATGTGTGTGGAACAGGACTGCTCCGTCTTAAATAATTTCTATTTAAATTCCGGAGCAGGAGCAAGGTGTCCAAAGATTAAATGTTACAGTATTTCATGCTAAGTTACAGCCAAAAGGGGGGAAAACGAAAACAACAGAAATGTTTGAATACTTCGCTTGTGTGCAGCAGTAAAGGTATTTTGAAATGCACACATTGTGGTTGAGTTGGCTTTGTGTTAGAGGATGTTGTGTTTGATAAGAAACAGAGGTTGTAAAGTTAATGTGGTGACTTTGGGATTTTGCAAGTGAAAAGTAACCCTCTTATTGTGTTCCACAACCATTAGGGGATGTTGTCTGAAAAGGGTAACAAATGCCAAACAGATGTGATACCCAAAAGTCAGCACTTAACCTTGGTTAAGATTTTAAATTGAAATTGCAAAAGCACTATGCCAATATAAGGAGTCTCTGTCCCCTGTAGTTTGTTGCCAAACAAAGTAAAATTCTATTTTTATATATCATATATGATAATAATTGTAAACTCTCTTAACTCTAATATCAATACAAATTGATCATGATGCATTTTATGCTTTAACCAGATTAAAAATAAATGTACTGTAGTTCCAGATGTGTATTAATATGAGTGATTACTTGAGCGTTTGTACAGTTGTGAATGGGTAACCAAAGAGCATTTATGAATGGGTGGAGAGGGGCATGTGCACTAGCATAAATGAGTTTTCTGACACTAGCCTGCAGGCACATTGTTAAGATTAAACAAACCCATAGTGTGCTTCCAGGAATGAAAGCATTTTAATTTTGGAGATTACCAATGATGACCAAAAATAGATTTACGTGAGTGAGCGTGTGTGAGTGTTAATGAATCTGGAGCTCCAGCTCATTACAATGAAGTCTCCTGCTTCTCTTTACACAGAAGTGAGAATGAGATACGCCCTCTCTGCTGCTGAGGAGCCACAACACCTCGGATACTTCATCTGGCGCAAACTATACCCAATGGGGTTAAGTTTAAAAAGTGATTTCGGAAACGGAATGGATCAGAAGCATTATTGGAGGACGCGGATATAAGCAATTCAGCAATCGTTTGTCGAGGTAAGCATTTATGTTCGTAGTTATTTAAACCTATAAAACCATGTGGTATTGTAATCAATGTAAGGCTGATGTCGCCTCCAGGCTGGACAACTATTCAAATAGTCTACAAAAATGTACAAGGCTACCATAAATCATGAAAACTACCGAACAAGGCTATTAATGTATTTTTCATCCAAATCATCTGCTAAAATATACACAACTTCAAGCATTGTGATTACCTTCTTTAGGTGATTCGTTTGTGCTGTTCGTTATTACGCGCGTGCATTGTGGCTTTGCCGCTTCAAAATCACAAGCCAGTTTGTCTAGCAGCATGTCTAAAGAATATCCAAAATTGAAACTCAAAAACAGTCCCCAACTGAGCTAAGAATACATAAAAAAAAAACTTTGACAGGACAATTGCTAGACAAAAATGCTGTTTTACAGGATAGGAGTGTAGACAGACAAAACAGCAACAGGAGAGACATTATGCAGCAAGATGCATACTACAGTAGGAATGGGAATGGGAACAAACGGTTGCACACAAAGAGCTATGATCACACATGGCTGTTAATTAGTCACATACTTCTTATGCAAGAACACTTTAATCAAAGCAATATAAATGCTAATACATTACTTTTTTTTAGGAACATTTGCAAATCCTGCATTTTTAGGTTCATAGCTTAAAATATTATACTTTAAGTGTGAGAAAGCACTTATTATTGCTCTTTAAAAAACGGTGATTCTTTTTCCAGATGGCCCTGATAGATGAAGACATTGCCTTCCAATCCAACATACCTGTGCCACTGGATATAACCGTGGCTGTGGTCTACTCTGTTTTTGGTGAGTAAACTCTGCAGTAATTCAAAACCATGTTGGTCTTATTTAATCTCTTAACAGACAGTAAAGAGTTAATAACACCAATATTGCTGTCAATACGTTTTTTACTCGTTCTGCTGAGGCTGAAACGGGAAACAGCATGGAGCAAGCCAGCACACTGTGAAGCCTTGGAGGCATGTTAATTGTTGTATTCTTCCCAAGTATATGTATCACATCTATCAATATTTACTCTATTGATGTCTAAATCCTACTGTAAACACACATCAATATACAGAGCCTGTAGTGTTGCAGCATGTTTAATCTGTTCTTCCAACAATGCAAGCAGCCTCTGGTGATAGGTTCTATATCTGGGCAATGTATACTGAAAAAAAAACACCTGCCATTCGGTAGTATTACTGGAGAAACCTTACATTTGAAGATAGCAGTGATGCACTATTAGAAGGTAACCAAAACGTGTTTTTAATGTAATACGTTTTTGAATTAATGTTCAGCTTAATGGAGTTTTATGACCATACTGTAGGTGTGTTTTGCTTCTGCTGTATAGTTCTCTTTGTGTCATGTGTCTGCGTCGTGATTAAAGCCATATAACTTCTGAGGCTGTCTCTGTGTTATGCTTTGCCTTTTACTACATGAATTAAAGAATCATCTTCAATTGTAATACTTGGTTCATACTAAGCAATGCTGGTTATCACTTGGGTAAGTAACATGTTTAAAAAGCCAGCAAGAGTAGAGCATTAGTTAGATTTTTTAAATGTATCCAACAGAAAAACCCAGGTGGATGTTGCCAAAATGGCAACACCCTATTCTTTTAGGCCACCTCCTAGGGAACTTTCTCGTGTATTGTATTGTATTTGTATATGAACATAAACAACAACATATATGGCTTGTGAGTGCACACTGCTGTCAAGCTATAACATCATGAGAAAGACTTCAGGGACGCGCAATGAGTGCCTGTGAAAGACACATTTAATGGATTCTTTTCCCAGAGAATTATTTATTGATACCCACCCTAGTATTAAAAATGTATATTTATGTATTTATATGATTATTTAAAGTATCAATGGATTTGACAGTTTTTAATCATGATTTTCACACAGTAACACAAATACTGCCATTTTGAGCAGCCAATCCAGGTTTAAAACATGAGAGTCTATTTGTTCATTAGTCTAACAAAATAATAAATACATGAAAACTATACGCCATAATTAATTACATTCCTGTGGTACACAATTTGCTCTGAAATCATTCGGTCTGTTTTCCAGGAGTATTATCACTGTTTGGCAACAGCACACTGCTGTACGTCTCCTTCAAGAAAAAACACCTTCTGAAACCAGCCGAGTACTTCATCATCAACCTCGCCGTCAGTGACTTGGGCCTGACTCTGTCCCTCTACCCCATGGCCATAACTTCAAGCTTCTACCACAGGTATTACATATGGCACGTACTGTAGCATTAACAGGCATGAAAACTACCAGAAAACGAGATACATTGATGTAAACCATATTAGAAAGATTGTAGGTATAGCTTTTAAATCATACTCTCTTTCATATTTCATGGTTCATTTAACTATATGGTTGGTTAGGGGTATGATTGCCTGTGAGGTTACAGATAGTCATGCTCATGCTATTCTTCTTTTACCCCCCTCACCTTCTCCCTCATTGATCTTTCCTCTCTGTCTTTGCTTTTTTCTATTTCTCTTTATCCCATAACCTCCTATGTAGGTGGCTGTATGGGAAAACAGTGTGCTACATATACGCTTTTTGTGGCATGTTGTTTGGCATCTGCAGTCTGACGACTCTGACCCTGCTCAGCATCGTGTGCTTTGTAAAAGTATGTTGTCCACATTACGGTAAGTTTTCAAAAAAGATTCTATTTCTTCCAACACAATGACACAGCATTTACCATCACACCCCTAAGTGGCTGATTATTGATTTATCTGTTCTACAAAACAAAATGTTAATCCCCTCCATTGCACATTAGCCTTTCTTTGATGACTGACTCAGGAGCTGCACTCACTTCTTGTGATGTTGGTTAATTCAGTTTATTGAACCCTTCTATTTGAGAATGAAGATATTGTGTTTTCCCGAGCACAAAAGGACTTCTATACATAACTCTTAATTATAAGCACTTTGTTAAGCAAACCTTATCTGAATCACTTCAACCATCGAAAGATACCCTTTGAAAATGTGAGGCAGCAAAACAAAGATTTTATTGCATGAATTGTAAAGTCTTACTGTGGTCTCCCACCACTGTATATTTACAGAGGTACTAATTTCATCACAACTTGACAGTAATGATGTCTGAGTAGATTAGACATTTAGGAGAAATATTATATTCTCCAACCTCACCATTGATGAATCATTTCCTGTGGGGGGGGAGAATAAGTGCAAGATGCAATTTCAAGGACCATCTACACAGTTGTTTCAAAAAGCACAAATGGCAAGGATGCTGCCCATGAAACCATAGGGGCCAATTCTGGTCCACTAGCTGTGGTGCAATTACTTTTAATGCACTTTCTGAAGATCATTACAATTTCACTGAGGAGGCTCATTAGGCCGTAACCTTGGTAGTGGAAGCTTTCCTCCTGAAGATTGAGAGCTATGTTTTTTTCCCTTTGTTGCGAGCACCAACACTCACACTTGTTAAGACTTCCTTGATTCAGTTTTTCTATGAAGCTTAAGTGTTTGTATTTTCAAGGACAGAATCGGGAACGAAGTCTCAAACAAAACAAAGCTGAAACAGTTTCATTCATTTCTTGTGTGACATCCTGGACTATATTCAGGATGGACAACAAAATGTGTGTGGCCCACAACAACCATCAAGGACTGTTGTGCTCCAATCAGTTACACAAGCTTGTTCGCATACTGAAAGGCAGCGTGAAGTGCATCTCCTCTCTGTGACTGCTCCATTGCAGTTGTAAAGGGGGCAGTGCCCTCACATATTAAGCCTTGAGCTACCCAAGCCCCTGTAACTGTGACTAATATTTTCATCATGTTCAGAACATTTTAAATTGTCAAGAACCACCACTAGAAGAAGAAAAGTTGAATAAACATCGGGAAGAGAACGTAAAATATATTGTTAGAATAAAATAACCTAACCTTAGATGAAAGTATGATACTCACATTTGAACAATTAGCTAATATCCCCCTTTAAGTTAACTTTAAACATGTAGCTCTCAGATGCAGTCAGTAAACACTATGTAGGTTCTTTTTTACAGGACGCTACAGTAGCTGTGCTGTTTATTGTAAGTACGAGCTTTTGAGAACATGCAGATTAGGGCATACCTCTTACTACATAGAGAACCAGGGTTATCGAACAACCTACTTTATCGTAGCATAATTTGTTTGGGTATATCAATAAATAATAATACTGCTTTCAACTTCATGAAAATATAAACTAAATGTTTTTTCCCCCCAGGTAACAAGTTTAACCCTGTCCACGGCCGTCTGCTCATTGCCTGTGCTTGGGTCTATGCCTTGTTGTTCGCTGGCTCTCCGCTGGCCAACTGGGGGAAATATGGACCTGAGCCTTATGGCACCGCCTGTTGCATCGACTGGCGCCTGTCTAATGAACACTCGACAGCACGTTCATTCACTGTGGCGCTGTTCATCTTCTGCTACATCCTTCCATGCTGTGTTATTGTGGCATCTTACTCGTGCATTCTGGTCACAGTGAATGTATCACGTAAAAATATGGAGCAACATGCATCGAGGAAGACACACATGAGCAGCATCCAGACAATTATAATTAAGGTAAGATGATACACACCTCTCCGTTTGGAAATATTCTTTTGAGTACTGGCTTAGAAACGACATGTTCTTATGGTCCTTTATAGCACCATTGAAATGATTATGCCCTCATCTTTACTGTGTCTCTGCATGATCACACCCCGGGAGAGTGTTATTAATACTCTGAGATCAGTAATATATTAAAGCTTCTGCTCGAGACAAGACTCCTGTGGAGATTTACTTACTCTTCCATATGTAAAATAAATTGGAAATGACCTAAATAGATCCGTCAGTGATAGAGGATCTATTCCGGTCAATATTAGCAGGAATTGGCTCTGGAGATACTTTTATGCTTTTATCCCATAGCAATACTAATGTTGAGGTACAATGTTGTATAATGTTTTTATAATTTTTATGCTATGACGTTTGTATTTTGTTTTTGTCTTTGCTTTTGTTTGCTTTGTACAGCCCTTTGAGGCATTTCTTGTGATTTGGGGCTATAATACATTTTGATTTGATTTGATTTGATGGATAAGAAGCTAACGCTGCTTTTGATGATCGATGGTCATCATTATACACCTCTCTCCATAAGAATAACTTTAATTTAAACAGCTATGGATTACAATGCCTATGTTGCCTTTGACTGATGCAAGTCAATCAATATTTCAGGTTCACCTTGTGCCTTTAAAGGACATGCCTTGTGATTTTTTTGTATGTTATCATCAATAGTGCAAAACAAACAATGATCATGATTCTTCAATCAAATACACTGTTTTCTCTTCTGTGATCTATTTCTTACCAGTTAAGTGTTGCTGTCTGCATCGGTTTCTTTGTGGCGTGGAGTCCGTATGCTGTGGTATCCATGTGGGCTGCCTTTGGGCACGTTGAGAACATCCCTCCTCTGGCCTTTGCTTTACCGGCAATGTTTGCCAAGTCGTCCACCATCTACAACCCAATCATCTACCTAATGCTGAGGCCGAACATTCGCAAGGTGATACGCAAGGACCTTGGTACTCTATGCCACATCTTTCTGAATTGCTGTCAATGCACGAAGGGGTCAGCAAATTGCTGCTCCAAGACAGAGATCAGGGTCCGAATTCGCTCATTGCACAGACAGACAAACCCATTCCCTTCATCCAACTACTCTGCTCAACCTCCTATAGAAACAATAAAGTGCAATGATGCTTTTGAATGCTTCAGACACTACCCTCAAATCTGCAGCGTCCCTAACCCTGCCATCGACGACCCATCTAAAGTTCTAGACAATCCAATTCCCCAAACACAAAGGCAGAAGAATCAAAATGTGTGCCACAAAAAGTCTCTGCTGGCCATCATGTGTGCAAAAAGGACTTCAGAAATAGACAACTTTCACATTAATTTGGAGATGGTTCCAGGCCATGCAAAAGTCGCCTGGCCTTGATACTTATCTCAATTTACAATGTTTACAGAATATCTCTGGACTTCATTTGCTGGTTATGTTCTTTAAGATGTGGCATTACGTAATTTATATATTTCAGGAAATCTTGTTCAGCGATGTACCGTATGCTCCTTAAGTGTTTTGGCACACGCCATGTAGCTATTTTATCTTTTGTCACCCACTATGTTTTTATTTGGTTAATATGACAGAATAGCATTTAAGGTTTAATGCAAACCGCATTTAATAATTTAAAGTGAATGTAATTTGTAAGTATGTGTTCATTTGCAGTGAATTGCCCTTATCAAAGTTGTCAAAAAGTTGTCAAAAAGTGCCCGGTTTGTAGCTTTTTTTCAGATTTAAATAACATCTAAAAATGTCTCCAAAACCCTAGGGGAGATTTAAGGTGTTGAGGAATTGTACCAACTTAATTTTGAATCAATATTTGACTACCTAACACATTCCTTGTAGCACTACTTGCCGCATCCTCTTTCTGGATCTACCGTTTCTGTGTATTACTTTAAAAAAAAGCTAGATTTAGTGAAGTTTTCTTATTTTTACTCTAACGTTTGCATAAGCTTGGTCAAGTTGGACGGAGGGCAAGTTTCAACATAATTTGAAGCATACTGTTTAAACTTTGAGAGTTAATGAAGCTCCTTGATTTTAATGATGTTTTCTTTATAGTCAAATGGTTGAATCTGTAAAAAGAATCATTTTAAGATAATATTAATTATGAGCCTGCAACAAAACAAAGATAATCTCATCTCTTTGATCAGGACTGTATGGATGTGGTTTGACTGACTGCGATAAAACAATATATTTTATCAGACTATGGTCCAAATATTGCTAAATCCATATTGGTGCAAACACCAATAATCAATTGAAATAATCAACACTGATTTAACTTTCATAATAATAATAATAATGAAAATTATGCAAAAATAGGTTATTTCTGACTGCTCACTACAAAGTAATAGTATATTGGATAAGTACAACACATGATAAATGTATGATTTAACAGTGGATCGCTTACATTCAAATCAAAGCTAACGTTCTGCACTTTAAAGACATGGATAGTTGATTTGTAAATACTTGTAGACCTTATTAAGGGCTTGATATTTAGTAATCTGCTGTTCGCATTATCTTAGTAAAGCCTGGGTTAAACCTCAGGCAATTGACTGGTCACTGTGCGTGTATGCTGATGATGCAACTAATATCTGTTATTCATATCGTTTCTGCACTTTGATACCATGAGTCTCACTGTTCTACCCAGATTTGTCCTGGATGATGGCTTTGCAGGAGAACACAAATATAACTAATTTCAAAAGTGGTAAAAACATCCATCCCCTGTCAACCCTCGTATTGTTTTCATGTGACAACTGCAGGTTTACAGTTTATGGTGCTTGATCAATTATCTATGTACAGTACACACTGTAAAACTAAATGTGGCAACATAATACTATTGTTATGGTTCTGCACATTAATGTCTATCTATCTGTATTATGTGAACCTCAAGTCATTATTTTTGTATACAATGAAAATGGGATGTTTATAGTTGATTTGTATAATATGTTTGACACACATGAAACAAACAATCAATGCAATCCAATATGTAGCTGCAGATAAATGTATTATAGGAGAAAGATTATCAAGGTCATGTTGTTTGTAATAGTTGTTGTTTGTAAATCCATTGTAAAGTTAACATGACTGGAATAGGATTTAGGCATTCACTCAGGACCAACTATGAGACAGATCCAACCTTAGCTTTTTAGACACTCACTGAATTATTACCCTCAAATTATTCCGTGGACCTACTGCTATACTTCATCTATTCCAAATAGAATATTAAGCCATGTCCTAATTGTCATGTAAAAGATGTTGCTGATGCAAGGCATGCTGTTTTAACAAAGGTTTTTAAATCGTTATTTCAATCAACAGGGTGCCATTTTAATATCATGCCTCAATCTGATAGAACCTGGATGTAATTACTGTTAAGAAGCTAGAAAGCCTGCTCACATTTGTATACCAGGACATTATCAATAGTCATTCATGGGTTGAAAGGAATCATTGTTATAGTGTTTAGTGGAGATAATATTAAACCTACCTAGGGAAGGAGAACAGCAGTGGCTATCACTATAGCTCATCATCAGATCATCATCTGTAATCCCTTTCATGGAAGTTCAAACAGTATTTTTTAATGAAAACAGAGAGAAAATTAGTCTTCCTGTCAGGTGCATTTGGGGATGAAAAAAGAATACAATCCACTGTTTATTCGTCTAATGCTCAGGAAAGAATATCTGCATACAACACACTGTCATGCCCATATTCAAACTATAGTCTATGTCATTGTATGCAGAGCCCTCTAGAGTCTAATGTGGGGTTTTAATGTTATCATAGTCTATATCGGATGAAAAATACATTATTATTGTCATTATTGTAAATTTCGACTTGTTCAGTTCTGTCGCTTGTTTAATTTGCTTTAAAGGGAAATGAGCTTTTGAGTGATGTGATATTTAGTGTGTCCCAATCCAATACTCTATAGTGCATAGAGTAAATACTTGATCTTTTTGTATATTGTCTTTGCAGGTAGCATATGAAAATATCCACATACAGTACTTAGCTGTTTGTTCAATCAAACAGGAACCTTTAATAGTCTGCAATCTAAACTTCTAAATACATAATGACAGATCATTTAAAAGTAATTTACTTTGAAGTTCAGTTATTTGGTTTTTTGAAAGCTTTTCACAAAACAGTTTGTTAAATGTTTCTGTCCCATTCTGAACACTTTTCCTTTCATGTTGTGCATGGTATCGTGGAATAAAAGTGTCAATCAAGAGAAAAGTAAAAAAACAAACACATTTTTGAATAAGTATATGGAAAAAATTCTCAGCACTCCCTTAGATTAAGGATGACGTGTGGAATTGGGATACAGATATAGCGTATACTTGTAGTCTAAACTCATTTGTTTAGAAGTGACAGCTCTGTTGATGTTTTCATTATATTGATATCAATTTAAGAGTTGCAGGGGATAAGCAGTTATGTTTAAAGGAAAAACTAAAAGTAAAACCATCTGAAAGTGTGTAGTTCCATCCATGTAACACATGAAATTAATTTACTTTGGGATTTTATAAACATTTGTTCAGTTTATTTAGAATATCAAAATGGCTTTTAAAATACAACTGGTTTTGAGTAAAACTTGTTGAAGAAGAACACAGTGAAGACATTTTTTTTGTTACAACATTTTTGTAATGAAAAGGAACAAAACATCAAATCTTATAATTGAAAATGCTATACAGTACATCACAGCAGCGTATCAGTTTAAAGACAATCTGACATCATGAGAGGAAATCCACACACTGATCATTCAAAGGAATAGCTCAATGCCAATGAATTCACCTTTACTGTGATTTGGGGAAATGTAAGAAGATAATCTACAGCAGGTCTCAAGCTGAAGGAGACAGACTTTATGTTACTCATCTCATGAGTGTCTACTGATTCCCACTGGACACATGGATGACAACAAAAATGCAAATGTATTGTGGACTTGTTCTGTCTTTCTGTGAATACATACTGTGTGTTTTCAGCTTCTTCCATTCTTACAGAGTAGCTGACCCTGCCTGTTCTGTGATTGAAGTCTTTATTTTTGTGTTGGGATGGAATAAATGTTTACCACACACCATTTGATTGTCCCTAAATATGAGTTAATATTCAGTTAAAGCTACAGTAACCGTGCACAAACAAAAAACAATCATAATTGACATTTTATATAAAAAATATTACTTTTGTAATAACTCTTGCTTAGACTTGTCTCATGTGTCAACTGTAACACATTGTTTGCAATATGCATAATGTACTAATCATTCAGGCTATTATTGCTTTTAAAACAGATTTTGAAATTCCATATTAAGAAAAGCCTCAAATTTGAACAAGCTTGTCTTGCTATAAAAAGTTATAAAGTCATTTGAAAACGTTCACAATAAAAGTAAAGTCCGTGTAACAATTTCTCAAAATGAGTGAGTACCAGAAAGTGAAAACAGTTCACAGGGAGCTGTGAGGATTTAAAAAAAGTAACAAAAGGAAACATTTCAGTGAAGAAGTCAAGTGAGCTCTTCGGTTTTCAGTTTGCCATTTCCAATGCTTTGAGCAAGACACATGTTGCGAGAGAGAAGGTATTTAAAATGTGTCCCATAAATCCGAAAATAGTATACTTTTTGGTTGAGAGAGCCTTTAAATGTTGCAAACGGTTAATAAAATGTGAACATCATGAGCAGAGGGTCCTTTAGACGGAATGAGGTAAAACGTTTCTCAGACCTAGGAGGAAGAACTGCAGGAGTCCAATATTTTCTGGATGACATCTATCTTGATGTGGCCATCCAGAGCACGACAAAGCTTCCCAATAGTGCAGCCAATACTTCCCTCCTTCATTTTCCACCGATCCAGCATCTGATGCACCATCTCGGGGAGGCCGTCACGGTAAGAGTCGTGCTCAATGGTCTCTATTTCCACACTGCTCAGACCCAGTCGCCGTGCACATCCCTTCCATTTTTTACCGATGTTGTCCCTCAGTATGTCCAGGTGACCCTCGGTCACGGCATAGTCCTCTGAAGGACAGAAAATAAACATATTTAAGGACGACTTCATTCAACACTAATGATAAATTGTTTTAAGTTTACCTCTGAATTTGAAATACCTTTGCTTTGGACTATTAGAAAACTGTTGTTCTCATCTGATCTCACATGCAAAATTACATACTTCATTGTTAACTTCACCATTTTACTGCTTTTGACTAACTACTAGAGACGGAAAAGATAACTGGATTAATCGTTTAGTTGATCGACAAGAATGTTTTGGCAACTATTTTGAAAATTAGTTTTGAGTTATTTTCCATTTATGACAGAATGTCTGCTTTTCATGTTTGTTTATAATAGCAATTCCTTTGGACATTTGTTCAGATTGAAAACAAGACATTTAAAGATTCCATCTTAGGATCTGGAAATGTTTGACTATTCTTGACATTTGACGGCAAAACCATAATATTCAATTCATTTTGATTGCAGTCCCAATTAGTATCCTATTTGCAAAATAAACAGTAAACATATAGACAAACTATCATCTGTGTTACATTAAAGAAAAATTCCCATGGTTTACCATATTTCAAAATGCCTTCTTTGATGGGAGAGGCATTCGAAGGCAGAGACATCAAACTATTGGAGGCCTCGTGACCTCTAATACTCATCGAGTTGTTGCTCCCAATCTGGATCCCGCTCGCATTCTGAATGAAAAGAGATCCTGAAACAAGCACAAGGCAAAACACATTAACACAGTCTCTCCAACATGTCAGTCAAAGCTGGCAGAGCTGTGAAAACCACAGGCATCTAGAGCAAGAAGAAACACTTCATCAAAAGACATGTCTGTTTGTACCTGGATCTTGTGGTGAGTAGCTCTTTGAGGGTGCAAGGAGACGCCCGGGCTTGATATCAGGAGCAGACGTATCAGACACTGGGTAAACTGGCCAGGACTGCTGGCGGTCATAGTGGGAGTGTGGATGTTGCTGGTTATATTGTGATAGAGAAGGGCTGCTGGCAGACAGTGGCAAGTGGCATGGAGAAGGTATGGAGGAGTTCATGGAATTATAGAGACCAGCAGTAGGGCGATACGCCTCCTCCTGGCTGGTGGGCTGCACTGGCTCAGCTTTTGTCCAGGATTGGACAGAGGATGCACAAGAGGGTCTGTCTGGTTCTGGTTGCTGGATAGCTTGATCTGAATTGCTGAAGTGGTTTTGCAGGAAAGGATTTGAGTTGCCTGGATAGATTTCAGCTTCAAGCTGGTTGTAGCTGCCATGTTTGTGGTACTGAAGCTCCCGAGCCAGCTTCTCCTCCAAAGCTGAAGGGCTTCTGAATGCCTTTGCGTCTGTCTGAAGAGGTTGCTCATATTGGATGTCATGCATGTCCTCAATGCTGGCTTCAACTGGCCCAGGTACACTTCTGTCTGAACTCATCAAGGGAGCTGGGCAATCTGCAAGGTGAGGAGAGATGTCAAAGCGATAAAGCTACTTGATGCCACAATGTTTATAGCTTTCTGAGCGTCGAAGACAAAAATGTAATACATCCCGCACAGGGTGGACATTACAGTGTATATATTATAATCAGCTCATCAAGATTGCCAACAGTACTCACCTGGCAAAAAACATTCCTGGGTCATTGACAGAGTTTTCATCTTCTCAACAAGTTCCTCTGGGCCTTCATATAATTTCTGCATAAAAATCACTCAGAAATGTTATTGATATTGCCTTATTTTTTACTTCACTTATTTTAATGTCACTGTGCACAGAGGATGAGATTGTACAATAAATCATTAACATATATATATTTACCCTCAGTTCCTGTACATCTTCCTCTACAAGAGGTTCAAGCTTTTCCATGTAGAAAGGCAGCAGGAAGTCATAGCCCTCTACAAAAAAAAGGGAAAGATAGGAGAATAATTTTCATTCAACAATATAATGATATCAGGGTTTAAACATATATTCAAATCAAGCCTTGGATTGTAAAAAAAAACAACAACAATGAATGATTTTAATGTTATTTTCTTTGTGTCTGAACACATAAGACTGTCATTTTCCACTGAGCCACCTTAGACCGCATGCTAATGTTTTTACTCCACACACACACACAAAAAGCACACCTTTAAATGTTGGCCTTTGCACCGGATTGTGATCCCAGCCCCTCTTCATGAGCTGAAGGATCTCTACAGGCGTATCTTCTGGAACAAGGTACTCTGCAGGTCGGTCCCCGTTACGGACGCACTGGCTGATGTGTTCTTCACTCCTTGCATCTAGAAACATATCATTTGCTTTTAGGGTTCTGACAATAACCAGGCAGTTGATGTCTTACAAACAGAGCCTCAACGTTTATTATTCATTCGAGCATTATTTGGCATCCCAACTCACTTGCATATGGCTCCTGCCCTGTGATGATGACCCAAACTACGATTGCAAAGCTGTAGATGTCAGACTTCTCAGTGGAGACTGTGTGTATACTCTCCAGGTGCTCAGGGGCCATGTAGCTCAGTGTCCCAGCGCCTCTCGTCCCTGCTGAGCACGCTTTACGACTCCTTCTGCTGGACTCCTCCTTTGTGAGTTTGCTCCATGTCAGGCAGGTGGCCAGGCCAAGGTCTGCAATCTATGAAACAAAGAAAAAAGACATTTGGGATTACCATAAATGTACATGCTTGCTGTCAGAATCACAAATAGGACCGAGTTTGTGATATACCTTGATGTGAAAATCCTTGTCAACTAAAATGTTTTCCGGCTTGATGTCCTTGTGTATGACGTGTCTCTCCGTCAGGTAAATCATCCCTTCCAAAACCTCTAAGATGATTCTGCACTTGATGGATAGTGGCACGGAGACCTGGGAATAATTAAGTGCTTTTATAATTCAAGTCATATATAAAAAAAGTTAAGCTTGCCAACTATGGATGAAATCTGCTCACCGTATCTAGCATGACCGACAGATTGCCTCTGGGGAGGAGTTCCATTACCAGCGAGCAGTCTCTTTCTTCCATGATCACACCCAGCAGCTTCACCACTCGTTCATGGTTCAGGCTGGCCATGATGTTCCCCTCCTCCAGCAGCGACTTTTTATTCTCCCTGGAAAGTACAGTATTAGTAAAAAATAGTAAGAACCAGATATCCGCCTGACAAGAGGCAACTCCATTTGTTGTGCAAAATAAATCCATTCCAATATATTGTCATCATGCACACAGTGAAATACAGATTTAAATTGTGTAGGTATCACTATTTGGAGATATTACGTTTCATTTATGCATACCTTGCTATAAATAACAGTAAAATCTGAATCTGAAATGTCCTTTTAAGAAATCCAATTCTATGGCTACAATACAAATATAATTTAGTAGATGTTTTTTTTAAAAGAAGGACTGTGGCATTTTGTCTGTAAAAAACGGATGTTGGACCTAGACTACATCCGCATTTCAAGTATTTTTCTTTTTTCCTGTAAAAAGGGAAGTTCGAAAATCTGAGTTTCTTCATTATGCACAATATGGGTAGGCCAATACAGTTTATCTGGGATTACACAATATTTTACACAGGCAACATTCTTCCATCAGTATCTAAGGACATAATACAATTATCCTGTAAAAAACATTATCAGTCCACTACATGTTGTAGAGAGCCTGACTGGGCACATGATGCATGTTACCATTGAAGCAAGGAGGAATACCCAGCAGACCAACAATGCATTCAGTAACACATAACTTACTCGTTGCGAATAGGGCCTGTATACATGGTCTTCAACACCACCTGGCCGAGGGTTACATGGTAGCACAGGTAAACGTCTCCAAACCCTCCATAGTCCAGGGCCTCTTTTCTGATCAGATCAGCCGATCTCATTTGAAAGGAAGACTGCGACGCGGTGGCCATCCCTGGTAAAATAGCACAATAAAACAGCTGAACCACACACACGACAACTCAGAAAAAAAGCATAACAAAGCATAACAAATTCTTAAATTGCAGAATAAAGAAATGTTTCATGGAGAGAAACTGGAAGTCTGACGCGGTGACTCAACCATCCATAACGATGATAACACTTTGACAGGCTGAAGTTAAAAGGTAACTTCAGCCTGTCAAAGTGTTATGATCGTTACTAACGCGTAAAGTTATCCGACAGTTTCAGCAACAAGAACTTTACTCTCTAAATGTTTACCAAACTCTTCACCCGACGAACAACATTATACACCAAATCCGCTATTAATATATACAAAATATAGAGTAAAACCCACCGAAAAAGTGCTGGACAAGCTAAGCAACGCTGGGGCACTTGTAGTTCCGGGATTTCCGCGACGTCCTCGCTAGAAGCGAAACTCTTTGGACATAAAAGACTACAAACAGGCTAAAAAGTGGATACCAGATCAGGACGACCAACAAACTCAGATAGATATTCATGTGTACAAAATACAAACCAAACACCGAAACACCCTATGAAAATCATACAGTAATGAAAATGCAGGATACAATGTTAAGTTATTTATCTTATTTATCAGAGTTATTTATCAGAGTTTGTTCATTACAAGTAATTTTTTGAGATACAAATTCCTCGAGCCCCATTGTAAATCTTGTTGCATGGCAGAGTCGCCATCTACTTGTAACATTTATTATCGCAGACTAAACCACCTTGCATTTCCCTGTAACACTAGCTTTACAATAGATTTGATGTTGTTACCACACTGATCTACCTGTCTTTTTACCTCCATACAATGACCAGCTGTATCAAAACACCTTTTGTCATCTAAGAGAGCAACGCTTTACCAGAACCAATGAGGAAGAGAAATATAATTTTGAAAGCAAAATGTCACAGCAGCCAAGCTGAAAATGCCCTAGCTTTATGCATAAAAACAAATAAACAAGTTCATTGATAAAACTCATGTTTATGTGAAATTGAAGCAGGAAACCACTTGAATTGTAACCCCTTCCAGCGTAGGCGATGTATGACATGAAGGCCTACATCTTGGGCAGCCTATCTGTGAACGCCCACACTATAAATTCCTCCTCTTGCACACTAAAACCACCACAAAGCAGTTTCATATTTACCTGTATTGTAGTGTCACGTTTTTCTGAGCAACACATATTTTTGTTTCTCTATCATTCATGTTTATTGCTGGTAATCTTCAGCTAATTTAGAAAACTATTCTGCTGTGCAGTGTATCGACCTATGTGATTAATGAACAGAAAAGTCAGTGCATTTAACATTCTGATTTGTGTGGAAACTACTTTCCAAGTTGTTTAATAAATGGCTATAGGACTAATTTTGTTAAGGTCGCATTATCAGTCAGCTTTTCCAATCATTCTTTACAGAAGTCCATGCAATAAAACAACTTTATGATCAACAGCACACATGATTTCAGTTATTCAACTATGAGATTATGGCTATTTTAGACTAATAGAGACCATAATAACAGTATGATTTATATGGAGGCGCAATGTATCAGCATTGAGTGGACTGATATCCAGCCCACTTCATATTTTCCAGCTCCAATCATGGTACAAGAGGCAATTGCGCATGTGGAGCAGTGTTTAGTAGGCAGACACCTTCTTTTATAGTCTGGTGGTCACACACTGCCCATCATAGCAACAACAGATCACCAGGAAGTTAAACCACTGTCGCCTGCGGTGTCAACGTGCTGTCAATGTGCTGTCAATGTGGGGCAGTGGGTAGCACTTCCTGTTGATGTTTTTAACGTGTTTATAATCAGTACAGAACAGCTGCCATAATTTCTCTGTTAATAGCACTCCTGAAGTTACCCATGCTGTTGATTGCTTCTTAATTTATCTTATTGTGGATTGAGGTGATTCACCAGAGTTGATAATGTGCTACAATAAGATAAGATAGATAAAATAAGATAGTACTTTATTGATCCCAATTTGGGAAATGTTTGTGTTGCAGCAGCATGACAAAAGACATGGCATTGATGTGTAAACACAGCTGTTATCAATACATTTTATTATTATCCAACTGAACCTGTCACAGCCATTCGAGTGAGTCAACATCATGGATGTATTAAGAAATGGCTGCCATGTACAATGCTAGACAGGGCCGCCCCTGGCCAACTTGTGGCCCCACGCGCAAAGTTATATGATGAGGTCCTCTGTGTCGCGAGCGTCGACGACGACGACGGGGGGGGGCGGGGGTTGGTGCTAGTGGAGCCTCGCAGCGGCGAAACTGTGGCGCGCATCGACTGTAGGTGCGCCTCTGCAAAATAAAGAACCCTCCGCAAGATGAGGCCCCCTCCGCGAGGTGAGGCCACATGCAGTCTGTGTGATCGGCCTGTAGGGAGGGGTGGCCCTGATGCTAGGTTTCGGATTGCCTTAATGGAACAGGGCCAACATTAATGCTAAATAATAGCACAGGTGTTTACACTGCAATGACAAAATGTGTAGGCCTGTGAAATGAGGCTTTACTGCTGGTTATTAGGGGCCTTTTTTGTTTTGTTTTGGCAAAGTGAATATTATGGTCCAAAGGAACTGGCACTGGCCTGCTGCCATATAGGTCAGATTGCCTGCCATTTTTCAGGAGAGAGTAATGGTTCAATCTTCCTATACTGTGTATCCCTGAACGTTGCTGTCCTTGTATAAAAAAACTACAGTTCCCAGCATTCAACGCGTGTAGCTTGGGAAGCAGTGCTCTGCTTTGCTCGGAAACGGAGCTACTGTATTTGTACGACTACAGTGGGTTTGGGAAGCCGTCAAGCCGCTGGATAAGCATTTTTAAACAACGAGGAAACACAGCGTGGCATTTCTTTTCAATTAGACGATCTTTCAGCATGGGGAATGGCATCAACAAGGTACGACTCTCATCTGTTGCAAGCGACTAGCGCTGAGTTCATATACAAGTATTCCTCAGTGTTTTTGAGAGTAATTAAGGCGATTTCATTTTACCATAAAGTCTTTGAGATGTTTATGGAGAAAAAAAGTTGCGTTTATTAGATTGGCATGATTTAATAAGAAATTACGTATTTTTAAATCAATGTAACATATGCTTTATTACTTAAAGTGGTGAATATTTAACATAATGGGGATTATTTTACTGATATTGTGGTAAAATAATCTCGTCAAAAGCTCTGAAAATGTCGATTTGAACCTACCATTTCTAATTACCACTTCATATTTTCAGGGTGTCATTTGAGTCAGCTGTTTCAAATTCCCTCAGCTGCTGCACCTCCTCACTATGATGCTTTGACCATGTCTGATTCTGAACTTGATCTCTGTCCTTCTATACTGTAGGTCCTGCCTGACTTGTACTTGGGGAATTTCAAAGGTGTGTCTAATTGTTTTTTTTAAACCGTTTTATCTTAGTTATGACCCCCCATACCAATTGTATGTGATTGTGTTGTTATTTCTTTGTCTCAGATGCCAGAGACCGAGAACAGTTAGCCAGAAACAACATCACACACATCCTGTCAATTCATGACAGTGCAGCTCCCATCCTCCAGGTGAGAAGCTCATCTACTTGTTATACATCTACTGTGACATCTTGTTCCCTTAGTTTGCATCTATATTTCTCATTAATCTCTTAAACAGAGTGATAAATCAAATGAGGAGGAACAGATCTGATGGGCTGAGCCCCCTCTTGGTGAATTAGTACAGTGAACATGATAAGAGAACTCATTGTCCATAAACCAGTCTGTCAGGTTGGTAAGGAAAATGTTCTGTTCTTGAGCAAACAGTTGTCAGTCCCGAGTGAGTAAACAGTAAGAAGGAGTTTCATACTCATGTGATGGTTGAAGTATCATGAAAAATGCCAGTCAACAACAGTTGGTTGGGTCAATGTGCTGATTTGTGTGCCTGCGTGGGTTTAAGAGTAGGTGTTTGTTTTTGCTTCAGCCACTGTGGATTGTGCTGTTTCGCTTCATTATTTTTTCTATGTAATGGATTTTGAGTAGGTTTGCAAAAAACTGCAAATGCATAAGAAGCTTCAGTTAAGGGCTGGGCGTTAAGAAAATTAAGTATCACACAATTTTCTATTATACTATTATTTTAATACATTTATTAATAGATAAGCATGAATAATGTGGATATTTCTTTCCCAAATAAAAAGCACAGCCTGTGCTCACCACATAGCCTTCAGTGATATTTATCACCAGCTGTTTGTTATTCTGTGTTCAAATTCATCAGAGTAAGTGACTGCGGATAGGTAACTATAATACTTTTTTCCCTCAGGAGATGACCTATCTATGCATTTCAGCAGCTGACTTGCCCACACAAAACCTGTAAGTACCAAAATGTGCAGCACAGCAACAAGGCACAGAACAATTAAAGGCTGAGGCAGAGAGAGAGTACAGCATGCATTTGAGGCTGCACTGTGTGGGTGTCTGAGGTTCATTTCTTTCAGCCTAACGTGTAAATGATATGCTTTCACAAGCTTAACATTAAACTAGACTTATTCTCTAAACTAGAACACAGCTGGATTCAGCTCTTTGGTGCATGGTTGTTGTTTTTTAATTGACATGAGGACATGACATTCCCAAATGCATGCTAAGAAAAATCAAGAGTGGTGCATGTATCACAAAATGATACCCTGATTTAGACACACATGCAAACACAAATCTTCTATGGCCAAATTCACATATCAGACGGTCTTTCAGCAGGAAGGAAGTCCAACAGCTCAGTTCTGCAGCGCTGTGTCTCTATTTATACCACTTGCACATGCACATATTTATACACACGTACTGTATATATGCACGCCGATGCCCTTGTCACCCTTACTGCCCCTGTTGCCTAATACCTCTTACATTCACACTGCGAGGTGTTTGAAACCTGTTGTGCGAAATATGACACCGACTTTCTCAAACCTGATATGAACACACCCCCCATCCTGATCCATCCGTCAGGTGCAAAACATACTACTGGTATGTAAGAAAAACTGTTAATAAGCAATCCACCTTTAGTGTCAGTAAGGACAAAATAACCACACATAGTCACCGCTCTTAATAGTAGTTCTTGCTGTGATCTCATAATGATTTGTTATGTTAACAGACTTTATTTGCTTCACAGGACTCAGCACTTTAAGCAAAGTATAATGTTCATGCACGAGTCCCGCCTGAAAGGAGAAGGATGCCTCGTTCACTGGTGAGATTAAGACTGCTTGTTATATCTATACTTCAAAGATTGATTCAAGGTTCACTCACAGGAAAGAGATGCTACCCAAAAGCTGAAACAGATCAACCAAGTACACAAGTGAACTCATGTGTAACTGCTGCACAGAGGGGATTAAATGATAAGCAAAAGCCTATTCTTGAACTTCCCGAAACAGAGTACAGTAACAAGGCTGACCACATTGTGTTTGTGTACTGGGGTAGCTGACCATATGTTCACAGGGGAAAGTTATATTTGGTTAGACTGATGGTCTTCTCAGAAATACAGGGGAACAAGAGGCTATTTATAAACATCTGCATGTTACCGTTGATTTTACTATATTATTAATTGAGTTAATACTTTATATTTCTTTAAGATGTTTAAAGTGTTCATCCGATCAGTTTCCACACCATATTTTACCACTCTGTCAATGTATTTTCTCTGTCTATCTGGCATCGTCAGTAGTCGGGTTGATATTGCCTAGTCACTAGGCCCTAGTGTATATTTTAATCTGATATTTACTACTGTGACTCTACTGTGTATTTTACACAATCCTCCTATACAAGGTGGTTTAGTTCTAGTACTCATATAGTATATTTACATGTACATTAGCTGCCTAGTTTTTAACCAGGTGTAACCTACTTTAAGGGAATGTTTACATAAGTATTTCAGTTTTACAAAACCAGTAGGCTTATTGACATTCCTCAAACCAGGATATGATATGTTACGTGCGCAAAACATAGCCAGAATATAGAACAGTACCAAACCCAATCATGTCCAGGATGCTTATGTGCTTTTGACACACTCTTTAACTATATTTACATATTCAAAAGAGATTACAGTTTGGGTTCATTTCATTATACTTATTGTCCATTCATCTATGCTTACAGTTTGGCAGGGGTGTCCCGCAGTGTCACCCTGGTGGTGGCTTATATCATGACGGTGACGGGACTGGGCTGGCAGGAGGCGCTGGCCGCAGTCAAGGTGCTCCGGCCCTGTGCTGGGCCCAACAGGGGCTTTCAGCACCAGCTCCAAGAGTTTGAGGCTACTCAAGCCAAACAGGTCAGTGCTAGGAACTGGAGAGAGTGCACCATCAGTGTCTTGCATTTCGTATGTTTCTTTTACAAGCTGTTATTTTTTTCTGCAGTTCAGAGAATGGCTACAAAATGAATATAAGGACAACCCTTTCAATGATGAGGCCGATCTACGTGAGTTGCTTGCAAAGATGACTAAAGCTGATGGTGAGAGCGTAGAAAAAAAGGCCTGTACTCCACCTGGAGGTATCTGATCAGATATTTGTATGAGATATTTTGCCACTCAGCCTGGAGGATTACACCACCATCTGATGCTACAGTACTCTTGACCTATCTGGAGAGCTAATATGCTTTAGAGAGGACTACTGACAGGAGGTTTATCGCCATTGGAGTAATCACTAAATATTATGAACACTCTAAGAGACAATTAACATGTTACAGCACATATTCATATTTAGTATGGTTGATGTTTCTGGTGATGTTGTTTTTTTAATTTATGAATGCTGTGTTTTTTGTACTGTGTCACAATAATTTAAAGTTGAGAAAAATAAAAGGGGTACACTTAAACGCTGTGGTGGGTTGTCATATCAAAGGTGATAAGAACACATTGTGTTGTGTTCACATCTCTGTTTCCTGGTTGTCTTCCTGTTTGTCTAATGTGCAAGGTAAGTCATGCATGGTGACATCCAAAACACCAAGAGCACATTCTGTAATCACATGATATTTTATGACTTACTTACTTGCTATAAAGCATTAAGAAAAACATACATTTCAGAATGATAAGAGATTTGATAGTCTTTAAACTGTAGATAACTGCAGGGCATGCGCATTGATAGCCACTGGAGGGCAGTAATACTAATGTAGCCAAAAACAAATGTTCGGATTCAACCATGTGTCTTTTGACTGGTTGGTTCCTCATGCCTCAATTTAGTTTCCCCCGTATAACAGGAAAAAAAACGAATCAACAGTTGTCACTGGAAATTAGACTGCACGTGTAGGCTTTTAGTAAAACAAAAAACACGTGGGGGAAATATTTTGCATTGGAAAAATGATGTACAGGTAACTGTTCCACTTGGTCCTGGTGTCTGCTCACGGTTTCAGAGGGATTCCCCACCGCAGTGCGTTGGCGCTAAGTTTCACAGAAATGAGTGCCTGCCTGACTGCTGCGCATCTCCTCTTCAACTTCTCAGAGACCGAGAGGCCCCTCCCTGTAACAAATCAAGATGTGAGAACATTTAAGAACAGTAAACCGAGACCTTAATAACAGATTTCAGCGGGGAGAGTTCGCATGATCAACGGTAAGCTGCAGAAGCTCCTTTTTTAAATGTACATTGTTATTCATTACATTTGTATTGAACCAATGAACCCCAGCAAATTCAGTCAGGATACAATGCTTGATCTCAATCACCTCTGTAGCATCAAGTTTGCTAGTTCTAATCTAATGATAACATTGGTTTGTTATTGAATTTAGAAGGTGTGTAAGTTAAATACATCTTGAAATACATTTAAGAAATACCAAAACTGAACTGTTCACATTAAGTCATAGTGATAAGATGTATTATTAGCATAGCCTATACAGTACAGTGGTGGAAGAAGAACTCACATGTTTTACTTAAGTAAAAGTAGTACTACCAGATTATATTAATACATTAAAGTACATAAGTATTATAATCAAAATATACTTAAAATTACCAAAATTAAAAGTAACCCATTTTAACAAATATTATATCACTGGATTCTAATTAGTGATCCATTTATGGTAAACAATTGTAATTTTGCAGCTGGTAAAGGTGGAGATACCCTCAACGTCCTTATTATATCCTTATTTATAATAGAACGTCATCATTCACAAGTCAATTTAATCTTTGTAATAAAAATATGAACCTACAAAGTAACTAATCTCTGTAAATATTACAATATTCTCTTCCAAATGTGGAGTAAAGGTTCAAAGTATACAAAGTAAAGTATTTTCACATTGAATTTGAGTAAATTACAAGCACCTTGATAATGTAATTAAGTATATGTACTACTATATTAAAACATGCATAGGCCTACATATATTGCATCATGTATAATGGCAGTTGTCTTAAAACTCTGCTATAATTTAATTATAGCTACGCTACAGTACGTCTGTTTCTAGTCATACATGTCTTAAATGAGTCAGTTATTTTCTCTCACAGATATGTAGGTGCTAAACGTGAAGTAGACTTCCCACATGGACCTCTACTGTCATATCCTTTCTTTTTTAAATCAGTATGGCCAAAAGAATCCAAAGCATGGCTAGTTAAAATTCATTCAAATTGATTGCTAATATTGCAGCTATAGGGCTGCGGAGGGGAAGTGCTAACTAACACTAACATCTCTTTTATCTCTAAAAGTATTGTAATTGAAAAGTCATTTTAGCTACAGTAGAAATTATACTAATGAAACTTGTACTGTTTTATGATAAACCAAAAATCTCGTCAATCTTAGATTCTCAGATTAATTTAAAGAAACACTTTACATTACAACAAGTAGAATTATAACTGCATCACTTTACTGGGCCTACTGTTCGGTTAGACGCTATATTTTGTTCTTTATTTTTGCAGAGATGAACCTGGACGAGGACAGTGGCTTGACAGTCAGCTGTGGCAACGGCAAACTGAGACAGTGGCTGATAGATCAGATTAACAGCAAACTCTATGGTGGCCTGGTCTGGGAAAATGAGGAAAAAAGTATATTTAGGATTCCGTGGAAACATGCAGGAAAACAAGACTATAACAGAGATGAGGATGCTGCTCTCTTCAAGGTCAGACCATCCTACCTTTCCTCTCACACTGCACCCTCCAACTGTTATACACATATATAGATTTTGTTGAAGTGTTAATGCAAAAAACTATTCGTCAGAAGGCCAACTTAAAAAAAGTGTTGGTACTTCAGTCATGTCTATGTTAGAAGAGGTAGTGTATATTAATCTGCTAAATGATTGTTTCAGGCATGGGCATTGTTTAAGGGAAAATATAAGGAAGGAGTCGACAAGCCAGACCCCCCCACATGGAAAACAAGACTACGCTGTGCTCTTAATAAAAGCAATGACTTTGATGAGTTAGTGCAAAGAAGCCAACTGGACATCACAGACCCCTATAAAGTCTACAGAATAATACCAGAGGCAGCCAAAAGAGGTACGTGTATGCAGACATCATCTATCTAACATACAGTGTAGTTTGTGAGAAGCACACTCAGCCACCAATGCATGTGGTGACAGATGTTTCAAGATAAGTAAAATAGTTTATGCTTAGAATTTGATAACAGACTGTAAAATGTAAAGCTGTTCCATAGCTATGGTTCGTTTATGTCGTTTGATTACATTACACGACACTCCTGCATTTCACATAGCATCTAACTTTATTCACATACTATTGGCCACATTTCACATATGCACCTCTGCAGTTGTGTCTGATGAGGCAGGAAGCACAAAGGAAGCCAAAGCATGTACCAAAGAGGCCGTAGTGCTTTTTTTAGAGGGCTTCGGTTACTAAGCGCAGGGTGCACATAACACAACCAGGCGACCTCCAGCCTTGCATAACCAAGTGTCTGCCATCATACAACAGTTTTTGTCACACCCGAGCAGTTCTTGCTCTCTGAGCTAGCAAATCGAAATCAACAGGATTTAGTCAGTTGTCAGTTGCAATTACTTAAATGAAAATACAGGACCTCACAAGTGCTCTAAGCATCATATATACTATATACTTATTTTTTAATATAAAACTGTGTTATGATCCTTGATAATTGTCAAATATGTTAGTACTTCTTTTTTTTGGAGGATGGTAGAAGCACTGCTTTCGTAGCAAATATTGAGGACCAATTATCAGATTTTCTTTTACTGCTTTTGTACATCCACAGGTATGAAGATGAGTATGGAGGAGACACCATCACATGCAAATTCCCTTGGCTATGTTCCTCCATATACGTCTCTGCAGAACCAGGTCAGCAGATTGTTTTGTGGCTTCTGCATGCTGTAGACTGGTCCATGCACATACAATTAATCTTCAGTGTTCTGATTGCAAATGTCTTGGTTTAATAAAGTCTTTCCGGAGTGACCGTCCATGTGGTTCCTTCTCAGGTATCTGGTTATATGGCTTCTCAGGAGAGAAGGGACTGGAGGGATTACTCACCCCCAGAACAACAACCTCTTCCTCCTCCACATCATCACGGGCCACATGCAGAGCTGCAGTATGGTTCGAGCCACTACCCGTCAGCGTTTAGTCGGGCGTGGCCGGGGTCACACACAGAAAATGGTATGATGTGGCCAGGATTATAAAACTACAGAATATATAGATGGAATTGTTGACCATCTATGTGAGTGTGACTCTAATGACTAGCAGATGTGGTGCAATTCCTTTCTTAAATTTCATTTGGTGTACAAGACACCTATATCTAACATTGTGTAATGCTTTTATTTTATAAAACTGGCAGTCTGACATAGAATAAAGTTTACTGATGCAAAATGTAAAGAAAGTGTGTAATCTTACCTATGTATATCATTGTGTGATGCTCGTATCCATCTCTTAACTGCAACTTTAACAGGTAAAAAGGTTTTATTAGTGACTTGTAGGTAATCCAGTGTTTTAAAATGTCTGCGATTAAATAAGACCTTCATTCCTGCAAATAAGTGTCGCAGTAGCTGTTGACAACTACTACTCTAATTATGACCATTGTTTTTTTGTTTATACTGCACAGGTTTCCAGCTCTCCTTCCACACCTACCTGTCAGACTCTCAACTGCCTGTGTATTCATTCGACCAAAGTAATGCCATAACAGGTATGAATCATCCTGCACTCATTTAACATACAGTATACAGTATGTGTGGACGTATTCAGAAAGACATTTACCCATGAGCTTGTTTACTATTTAAAAGATATTTGCATTTACAGAAGAAGAAAAAAACTCAAAAACATTGTTAAATCCGTTCTTACTTCCCCATTCTAAACTCATGATAGTGAATAGTTTTTTTTTTCTTGAAAGGGGTGAAAATATTATTGTAATTATAATAGAGAAGTGAGTGGTTCTCTGCATGCCAACAATACTGAGAAAACAGTTGTATTTACGCTTGACATTTCAGGCCCCCCAATATGTTCAGGCTGTGAGTTGATTTAACGCTCCTCTCTTTCTTCCAGATTTCAGCCTGCATGTGTCCTTATACTACAGAGAGTCTATGGTGAAGGAGGTTACCACCACCAGCCCAGAAGGATGTCGGATCACCTCTTCTTCCTCCTCCTCTCCGTCATCTTCCTCCTCTTCATCCCCAAGCTCAGAGGACAAGCTTCACAGCGGGGCGGAAACCATCCTCTTTCCATTCCCGTACCCCGAGTCTCAGAGGCAGGGGGCTGACATGCTTCCTATCGTACTGGAGAAGGGTGTGCTTTTGTGGATGACGGCTGATGGGTTATATGCTAATCGCCTCTGCCAGGGACGAGTGTACTGGGAGGGACCCATGGCTCCATATATGGATAAACCCAACAAGCTGGAGAAGGAGCAGCCATGCAAACTGTTTGACACCCAGCAATTTCTCATTGGTAAGCACTCATTTTGTTCCGAATTTTGTATAAAGGGTTCTTTTGACTAGCCTGACAGCACATTCTCCTCAAAGGAAGCATCATATGACAGCCTCTATCCATTGAAAATATAAATATAATACAATTAAAATTGTAAATAATAGTCTTATATTTGTAATTGTTCCTAAAGTTGATCTGATCTTATTTTATTAAATGTATGTCTTCTCCTCTGAAGAAATATTTTAAATTAAAAAGTATTACCATGTAAGCAGCAATTTAAAGTACTTTATATACAGTTAGGTAGTTTGATTTTACAGCCATGTTTAATTCCATGATCAAATGTTGTGTATATAACATTTGAATATGTACAGTTGTAACTTAAGCTGTCTGATAAATACACTAAAAAGCAAAGATTTCCTCAATAAAGGGATTCTAGTAACACATAAGTAATTTAAAATTCTACTAAAGTACATAAATTAATTAAATGTATTTTCAGTACAGGTATTCAATAAATGTATTTGTTATCCAATGGACTAGATGCTACTTAGAAACAGAGTTTATGGATTTGTCATTTACTGCTAGTTTAACTTAAACATTTACAGTATTATGATGGTTGTGGTCATGTTGAAGATTGCTGTGTTGTGAATGATAAAATAATAAGGGAGAGGCCGCAGGTTCTTACGCTGGGTAAGTCCCTCACAGAAGTAGCACTAAATGATCAAGTCACATTCTTTACAGGGGGCCAAACTGTGTGGAGTCCCCACCCACCTCCTGTGGTCCACCTCACTCTGTGACAAAATTGTATTTTGTGTGACATTTCACAAGGAAATTTCCATCATCCACATTAGTAGTTTCCAGATAAATCACCATGATAAGGGAAAGTGTGCTGCAATTTGGGGATTTTAATTCTTAATTTACTGTTATTTTTAATGTGAAGTCCTGGAGTGTGTTTTTGTTTTAAAAGCACTCATTCATTGCTCTGTTTCTTTCAGAGCTCCAAGATTTTGCTCATAATGGCCGACATGTACCAAGATATCAGGTGGTGTTATGTTTTGGAGACGAGTACCCCGACCCACAGCGCCAGAGGAAGATGATCACAGCACAGGTAACCATAAACTGCAGAGCCTTACCTTGTAATTGAAAGCATTTATTTAAAGCATGGTAGCTTTTAATTAGTGTTGTTATTATTAATAATGGCTATTCCATAATTGGTTTTAGGTAGTTTGCATTAGTGAGGTTATTTTATGGAATGACAGACCTCAGTATTCTCTTACTAACACAACATTCCAGTACATTTTAAGTGTACTTGAATTTGACCTTTTGTTTAGTAACTTGTGTAATGTTTGTGAAAACACCTTTTTAAATGTGTGCCAAATAGGGATAATGTGCAGCGAGGCGGTCATTATTGTAAAAAGAACACCTGAGGGTGAGCCTGACATGAAGCACTAATGTGCTAGCTGTGAGATAGCATGGCTAGCCTTAGCAGAAACTAAATTGTCCTTAAAGGTAGGTAAGTTTGAGAAACCGGCTTGAGATACACTTTTTGTTATATTCCATGGAATGCTCTTAACATCCCGATAGCAATGAATATTTTAAGTGCTTTGACAAAAAATCCATAAAAAAATGTAATCTGTGGAAGCCGTAATACTGTAAAAAGCACGACCAATCATTTTAGCCGGCCCGGCTAAAATAACTGGATGGCCTACCTGCCTGTCAGCCTTCCATCTGTGCACAAACTTATCTCGTGCCCTCATTGGTCTTGTGCGTGTTCGTGTGTGTTGGAGGAGGGGCTCTGTAAGGAAGTGGCAGATTTTCTCCGGTTGTGGATTTTAAAATTCTAGCGATCTCGAGCCGGTTTCTCAAACTTACCTACCCTACCTTTAACAGTTTCCACTTGCTTTAATTGAAAATAACATCAATATGAAATGACGTAAGTAATTCAGTTATTTTTTGCCATACTGTACGACTAAAGAGGCAGTTGCTAAATGCAGTCACATATATGTCATACACATACCTTGTTTTATTTTAGGTGGAGCCAGTGTTTGCCAAAAAACTGGTGCACTATTACCAGCAGAACAATGGCCACTACCTGCGGGCTTTTGATCACAACCAGGAACAGAATGCATCTCTAACCGTCGACTATCCTTCCCAGAGACCCCTACAGCATATTCAGGAGTAACAATCAGACACACACACACACACACACACACACACACACACACACACACACACACACACACACACACACACACACACACACACACACACACACGGGCTTAACTGTGAATGTATAGTTTACCATTTCTCTGTAGATAGTAGAAGCTGGCATTGTACTGAGGGGTAAAGATGGGGAAGACCCTGTTGTTTTCACTTGCACACCTAGCTTCGTAGCCTCTGTGACTGTGTAGTACTGGCTTTTTTTCATTCTACAAGTATTATTGTGACAGTGAGAAGGATGCGGTTTGAGGGTGGGGGGGATGAGGGGAGCGAAGGGCGACTGAGACAGGAAGTACTAGCACAGGTGCACAGGAAGAATGGCCCCTAAGACAAACACTGATATGTCAAAGGGACACAGCAGAGCATGAATGAATATTTATTGTATCTTCACAGGTTTGACAATGTGTTTGTTGCTCTCACACACTTAAGTCTTAAGTGGCACAATCACAAACTCTGCCTTTTAAACTTAGTCGACACAGCTCTTTCTCTGATTCAAAACTTTTATCACATACAGTGCTTGCTGTACGATTTACTTGAGTGAGCAAGTGAAAAGTCAACAATATAATTGCTTGGTCCTTGGTCTTGGTAAAGAAAAGAAGAAGTTTGATTAAAAAAAATGATGTTATCGCTGGTCTGGTGGTGTAGTAGAGGAAGCTACTAGTGAAGCTACAACTTCTGCTGAATCTGAATCTGGGCCACTTTTTAAAGATATCTGATTTTGTTAAATTAAATCAAACTGAACATCTACAACGGGTCACAACGGGTTTTTCTATTTGCTGCATAAAATCATGGCTATTCATTTTTCTCTATTCATTGATTTTTTTTCTTGCTTTATCTTGTGAAATACTGCAAAAAAGGTGTCTGAAACAATCTTCTTTGAAAACCACATGTTGACTAAACCTCTTACACTTACGCAAACCTCTCAAAAGCTAAAAAATAAAGGTTAAGTGACCACTGGCTTACCGAACACAACCAGAGAACCGCTTGGGCCTCAAGGTCCTTCTCCTCAGAGAGTGGGTGGCCTTGACCTGACTGGACTGAAGGTGATTGACTGGAAACATCACACTCATCCTGTAACTTGCAATAAACTGTACCTGTTCCTCTTGACCTGAAACTTAAGGCCTCACAAATGGGAAGAAAAACTACCTTTGTGGTGTGTGTGCAAGTTCAGCCAGAGAAGAGCTCTCTGGTTCCCATGCCTGCGGGTACTGTTGGACTTCTCACACTGGAGGTAACTGGTCCAAACAAAAGCTATTTTCAGATCCTAACAACCTATGGAGGATTGTGTATTTATCATAGGACGTAAACATCCAATAGTGAGAATAATGCAATTCCCTTTAGTGTTTTAAGTCCTGAAGGCTGATGTTGCAGCAGTATAGGATAATGTTTTGTAATGTTTTTCTTCTGTGGGCCAGAGTTTCGATCTCTACATATACTTCCTTCACACTTAAACCACATCACTTTCACAATGGCAAAAGTCTGACCAAAATCACAGGCGGGAATGTTTTTCCTTTTGTGAGTGTTTGCCTAAACCATAAATCACTTTCCCCCTCAAAAAGAGATCTATGATCTCAAGGGACAATCTGGATAAATAAAGGTTAAAAAAATAAAAATAAAATAAAAACATCACAGGCAGTTAGATTCTGTCCTAGTTGACATGTTGTTAACTATTACTTAACCAATTTAAAATCAAATCGTAATAGTAACATTGTTACCAGCTCCATGTACAGTGTAATGTTGTGATAGTGTGTGTTCAGGTGTGTGTCGTAAAGGGCAATGTGTGTGCATGTGTGTAGGTGGGCTCATGTGTGTGTCACACAGTTGCACTATTACTGTTATCAGGAATTGACATTTATGGACTCAGGATAAAAACATGTGACTCCCCCACCTACAACATCAGTGACTAACACGGTCATGCACACCCATTACACGTCACATTTAACAGTTCAAGTAAAACATTCAGGACAAGCTACACAGGAAATCACACAAAAAGTGCATAATAAAGAAATTGTTAGAGCTTTTTGTACAAAGTATCTGAAAAATCACAATGAAAAAGGAGTATAGGTATATTTTGAAATAAAATGATGAATTGTCTACTACTCATGTCTTCTTTCATGTATTATCTTTAAAATCTCTTCTGATTTTCAAACAAAGGGGTGGAGGATGAGAGAAAAAAGACAAAAAAAGCACATTCACACTTTTACCATGGTGTTTCCCCCTCTGCAGGAAGCCACATCATTTGTAGTCAGGCTTACGTTTTTCCGCCCGAATGAGCCGTTACTCCAAGCGACATCGGACAGCAGACATCTTAGTCAACTGATGCCCCAAAGTTCACACAAATAAGGTTATTACGGAGAAATGAAACTACCATGAATGCAACATTTTCACTATTTAACCAGACAGCTGCTTAATCTGTTTAGACAACTGGTGATACATCATACAAAATGATACTGCGTTGATCTTTATGCTTATTTTTTCCACCTTAAAAAAAGCGCCAAAATATATCTTCACAAAAACCAGTGTTTATTTGATGTGTAAATGTTTTGTATTATTTTATTGCTACTTTTCCTATCCATGGATCATATGTTTTGGGTGTTTCACTGCTAATAATACGATATAGCGGCATTATCATGTTAACTGTATTAGTTGTTGATACTAATACATTAGTATGATTCTGTTGTTGTGATTTTGAGCTACATATTCAGGAAGCATTTAGTAGGTTTGTGCATTTATTGTATGTTTATTTCATCTGACATCAATGCTCCGAGGCAATAAAGAAATGGGGGTGTATCACAATAAAACTGGAGCAATCTTTTGCTGACATCTGCTGGTAAGTGTAGAACAGATCAACAAATAGCTCAGAATCAGAGTTATGGCGAGATGAGACAATTTAGGACTGATGTAGAAAATGTGTGATACATCTTCAGACTTCTAAGCATTATTTAACCTTTGATGAGGAGTCTGATTTGACTCTCTGTTGTTTTAAAGGATTACAAGTTGGAACTGATATATCTTGCTAAATCCTCAATTAAAGTTGAAGTCATGTTTAATGGGATTGAAAAGTGTACTCTATCCCTAAGCTGCAGGTAATACAATACTGTGAAGGTGTTGTACATACAGTTCTATGAGAGGTCGTAGTATTACAGTGGTCATGCAATACTATATACTCATTTGTATCTGTCATTATATAATGTTAGATATAAAATAGTGTCCAGGGGAAACTGAAAACAAAAATATGTAAAACCTGCTCCCCCTGCTGGTTACAGTCCTTAACTTTTTAAAACCTTATCCCTGAGAACATACCTGTGGTAATTCCAGACTCAGAGTCCATGACCCCAGTTTGTTTAGGGTCAGACCTCTGCCCTGGATTTGATGACAGTCCTGTTTAACCCTAGTTAACTCTGGCTGATGCTGCTTGTTGACCTCGTGGTAAGAAGGGCGTTGACCCTATATCCCTTTTTTTTTTAAACTAATTTTGATCCTGCAAATCTACCAATCATCACTTACAGGCCCACTGCTGAGGCTATCTACTTATAAAGCAATAGGCATGGCTGATGGGAACAATTGCCAAGATAAGTTGTTGACAGATTGTACTATTAGGACTTTAAACAAAAGCCAAAAAAACTGACATGGGTGTGTTTGAGTAAATACACTTATTATTAATCTCCATCTTTTTATCATAGTATTACTAATTATAATTATATCTGGCCATATGACATACTGTATGAGGCAGGAGAAGTGCTTCCCATAAGCAGTAAATAAAATCTTTATCGCATCAATAAATCAGCTTGAATTGTTTTTAAATGTCTGTGTTTATCTGAGACTCTTCAGATAACAATGTACTTGACCCAATACATTACGATGGCAGGAAAGCAATAACAGTTGTCGGATAAGGAGCAGCAAAGTACTGGGAAACATTCAGATGACTCTGGACATGAATGTAAACAGATAAGGCTTGATAAGCAGAACAATATGGTGTCTACCTGGCACGCTTAATGTCATCAGACAAAGAAGGAAGTGCAGCATTCTTTTTAGCGCAATGCAGATTTCCTTCAAGGTTAACAACCAACAAAGTGACTGCACGCAATAAATTAAATGACCAGCAGGGAGTGATGTATCCCTGGTTGGTGTGTATAGTTTTGTGGAAATACAGCATGAATTCTGTATGCAAAGTGAGAAAAGAAAGAAAGAAAAACATGATGTTTACACATTTAGGTTGGATTGCAGTAATCAGTGCATTCACAAACCCTTTGATCGCTCTTAATGGCCCAGGGACATATCTCTCTGTAACACCGCTGCCCCAACAAACACATTCACACATGCAGTGCACAAACGTATTGTATAATGAATTCCCTCAATTGATTTGTATTCACATTACCCAATCCTGCTCTCTTGTTGTCCTAATTTCATATTTAAAAAAAGCATGTGATTCCACATCTTTGACTTTTGGTCTTTCTAAACACCAATACTTTGCTTTGAGCATCAAGTGACACACACAGAGACAGAGGTGGTCAGAGTGACAGCTCGTGGGCCGTGTTGCGTGAGAGTGACTCGGACTGTTCTCAGACTCTGTGTGGTCTGGGTGTGTGGTCTGCAGCTGACATGCAGGGAGGAGGACGGGAGAGCCCTGTGAGTGTATGTGAGTGTGTATGTGAGTGTGTATGTGTGTGTGTGTGTGCTCATGTGTTTACTTTATCCAGAGTCAGGCCCAGGCTCTCTGCAGCCACGGCTTGACTAGAAAGCTCTGCCTTCCGCCACTCAGCAGCCCCGGTCTGAAAGATAAACACACACTGCCACCACTTTGACATGGCTCATCTGAGGATCATTTTTATCCATGTATACATATGGGACCTGAGAGACCTCTGGGTTCCAGGGGCTTGGGCCTGTGTGTAGTTTCCGAAACTGAAGCCCTGTATAGAGTAATTGTTCAACCGCTTTAACTCACATTATCGGATTAGAAATTTACACAATTCCTTCAATTTACTTAACTACAGTGTTTTCATTGACATATATAACATACTTGCAATTGTGACATTTTCAAAATCCTTACCCTTTGTATTTTTTTCCTAATCCTTAGTGTTTTGCACAACCCTAGGAGCATGCCCCTATTTTAAACTACACATGCAACGTCACATACAGTATAATCATTTTGATCCTTCAATCCTAGTTGATGACCAGATTCTTGCTTTCACTCTAATGCGTAAACCTATCATTTAATGAGACGTCTGATTTGCTAAGAGTACAGTTCATTATTTGTTCAATGCATCTAAAATGTTGTTTGGGTTTTTCGTATTGTTTTCTATCGTTTCTTTTCCTGTTTGTGTATGTTGTTTATGTTATGACTAATCACTATTTAAGTCTTTTTCTTTTTCATTAAGTCTACAGACAGACCTAATTAAGCCACAAAGGAAACATAGATTATTTGAAGGTCTTACCTTAAAGATCATTCAGTGCAGATTCACAATGAAGGAAATTAGACCTCATACAACCTCCATTGGTCTTCCCTCCTGCACACACACATCAACCATTGGGTTTCTCTACACTCCTCTCCCTCTCCCACAGCGATCTCAGGGGAAGGCTATGTAATGCAGCACTGCTGAGAACGCGCCATGAAAATATAAATACAACCTCGCCGCATTTCAACCATGTAAATAAACAGGGCCACCCAAATTTCTAATTAGAGCTGGTGTGGAAGGCAGGAAACGGGGTAGACAAGAACAGACCACACCCCCTTCTCTCACTCCTGCAAAGAGTCCAGGTCGGGGTCCAGGTCCGGGTCGGGGACATGGGACAGTAGAGAGGAGAACACAGCATATAGCACCTCACAATGTTGTTTTTGCACATCCTCCTATTCTCACTAACTGTGCTCCTCCCCATTACCTCTCAAGGATGTGCCTCACACAGACTTCCACACATTCAAATATGGGCATGGAACAAATGCATGGGATATTAAACGTATACCTATGAAATCACTTAAATCTTGATAATGCATAAAATCATTTTTGGTTCACATGTCTCCGCCTTGCGAACATTTCATTTAGTCCATTTTGAGAAACCAAGCTTTACACCAGCTTGCCTTATCAGTCTAATCAAGGTTATGAGGCGATTCCTATCTGGCTGAAATGAAGCATTCTCGCTGTATTCCCCGTCTTCTTGGAACATCTAGGCACTGTTATTACGCAGCTAAGCCCAAGGACCACCCAGGAGCTGGGTTCTAGCTGTGCGAGGCAGAGGCCGGGTCCTTGTTTTGATAAGAAAGACAAGTCTCCTCTAAGGAGGGATGGTGCTTTGATAGTGCAGCAAGGTTTCCCTGATAGCTGGCGGATCAAAGTCTGATAGACTGGCTTGGCATTCAGCAGGTCGAACTCATGAGCCTGTTGGTCAAATGTGTTTCAGCTGCGGTTGGTTGGCAAACATCATGGGGCCTATTAGTTAAGATAAACATACAACTTAGTGAAATTACCCCAGAGAGTTAAAGAGCTGTGTCATGAAAGTCACTTTCACTCCAGATATGCCTGTTAGGGGGATAATACCACGTTTCTTAATGGCTATAATTCACCCGGAAAGGGCAGAGCTCATTAGATAAAATCTTCGGGAGGAATCTGAGGTATAATGATATGTCCTAAGTGTGTATGCTGAATGCTTCAACAACTTGGACATTGGGTACCTTTAAGTTGTTCTTAAATGGCACCAACTTATACCCTAAAACTGTGTCTTTGGAACAAAAAGCTCCTCCGTCCATCATCCATTGTTCTGTGTTTATGTTTGATTGGTCTCCGACTGCAGTGTGTCTTCCCTCACAGGCTCCCAAACAGCCACACAGGAAACAGACAGAATAAACACAAGGCTCAGGAGATCCTCTCTTTACTAGACTCTGAGCTGCAGAAACTCAATGTAAACACGCTGAGACACTGGCTACTCATTTTGAGAAAGTTTGTTAAACCACAAGCCGTCACTCAAGAAGAATGTTGACCCACATTTAAAAGAGAGAAACAAATTCATGAATATTTGCTGTGCTCTTTAACTGCAGACTCAAATTGAATGCATTTTCCTGAATGGTCCTGCCACTGCTCTGAAATACAAGCATCTGCAGCCATAC